GTGCCCAAGATCCAGAGAGGAGAACGGAGGAGAAGGGATTGCGGCATGGGGGTGGGGGTGATTTCTAGCTTTCTGTCTCTGTCTGTCTGGCGAGCGCACAGTCCCTATAGCAAAAAAAAAAAAACCTCCAAAAAAAAAAAAAAAAGAAAAGAAAAGAAAAGAAAATTGCACAAAAGTCTCTAACCAAAATTTAAGCCTTGGCAGAATAAATTATTAAAAATTACATAGCTGGGACCAGCAGTTGGTGTAATGGCAATGTTGCTAGACTCCCATGTAGTCAACCACGGTTCGAGTCCTGGACCCAGTGGCTTAAACTCATGCTTGGTACATGTGCATGTGTGCCCAAGATCCTGAGAGGAGAGTGGAGGAGAAGGGATTGCACTGTAGCCATCCCCCCCGGGGGGGGCGATTTCTTGCTTTCTGTCTCTCTGTCTCTCTCTGTCTTTCTGGCAAGCACACGTGACCTATAGCAAAAACCTCTCCCCCCAAAAAAAAAATAAAAATAAAAAGTTAAAAAAATCACAGAACTATACACTGTCAAAAAAAAAAAAAAAAAGAAAGAAAAAGAAAAGAAAAAAAAGAAAGAAAGCCAATAATGAAAACAATAAGCCAGATCTATTATTTGCAGGTTGTGAGCTAAAGAGCATTTCATACTTCTTGACTATTTTAAGATGGGATGTATTCATTTAATCTTGGTTAGTGGTGACTGTGTAAAGATTTCACTCCTGAAATACTGTGTGCAAAGCAACCTCAGCTACTTGGAAACTTGCAAATCTTGCAGTTAAATGACCAAAATGCCACCATGGCAATTTTTTCTTCAGTTGAATTGTTCGGTTTTTGCTAGCAAAGGAGAAATTTACATGGTTCTGATTATTAATCTACATAGTGTGATCTTAGCTCCAGCATACTGAGCACAGTGAGAAACCAACAATCAGAAATACCAGCTCAGGGAGGAAAGCAAGTGATGTAGTTTTGCTTGGCTCAGACATGAAAATCCTTAATAGATTAAGGAACATTCTTCAATTTCTAGGATGTTCCTATGAAAGTTGATTTCTATTCCACATTTAAAAATAACAAACTTTTTTTATTTGAAAATGCAAAGCAAAATAATTTTATGTTCCCCCTAGGATTCTAGGTATTTAATATTGAAATGAACAGAAAGTGTGTATTTACCTTCAAAACTCATGCAAAAGAACAAAGCATGAAAAATAAAGAGAAAAAAATCTTCAGAGGAGAAAGTTATGACTGTTAATTAACTTCCTCTGAAGTCAGCATTGGATTATAGAAAGCATTCAGGGTCTTTGTTGACCTTACTAGCAAATTCAGTCCCAAGAACAGATATTTTAATGTTTCTTTCTCTATAGCAGAATAAACCATATACTAAGCACTTAGTGTCTTTTATATACTTTTTCCTACCAATTTAAAATTGTCTAACTTAGTAACATTGTAAATTCAAAACAACAGAAACAAACCAATTTTTTATATTGGTAACCCCATCTAGTATTGTCATAATGATGTTTTATTCTTTATTTAGAAATAAGACACTGTGACCTCATAGCCACTATTTTTTTTTTTTTTTTGGAGAGAGATTTTTTTCATAGGGCATATGTACTGCAAGAGAGACAGACAGGAAAGTGAGAAATCACTTCCCTGGGGGAAGAGCCACACCATAATCCCTTCTCCTCTATTTTCTTGGGATATGGGGCACACAAGCATATACGCCCTGGCCACTATTTGTAAAAGTTGTGTATTTGTCTTTTAAAATGTTCATGTTCTTCCCCTTTGTGTTAGAGCACTGAGAATTATTGGAAAGGACAGTGGGTGAGAAATACCATGGATGTGTTAATTGCTTATGTGGTGAGAAGGCCAGACAGGCTTTAGAAAACATGACATATTTGGAGGCTATGACTTTGTTTTCATTCTACTTTGGTCTTTTTTGAGAAAATGTTAGAAGAACTATTATGGACAAGTTTTGTTGTAGTATATTGGGGCAGTTTATTGTGTAATTGCTTCGGTATGTGGTGGACAAAAGCGTTTGTGGAGACAGGGCTCAGGCTGGGGAAATTAAAGGTGATGCCAGGTATCGTCCTATATTTTAATCTGTACTGCCAAATATAAAACTGTGTCAGCAAATGAAATAGCCCATACGACTTTGAAGAACAATGAATTTTGAAAGCCTTTGCAAAGTATGAAACACCATGTGCTTATTTGTTTTTAGAGAGATTTTTGCTATAGGATGTGTACACTTACCAGAGAAACAGAGAGATACAGAAAATGAGAAATCACCCCCTCAGGGGCATGGCCACATTGCAATCTCTTCTCCTCTAGCCTTCTCTTAGAATCTCTGGCGTGCGCATAATCACTAACACGTGCCTAGCATGAGATTTAAACCATTGGGCCTGGGACTTGAACTGTGGTTGACTCTGTGGGAGTCCAGGGACCTAACCATTTTATACCATCTGCTGGTCTCAACACTATGTGTATGTTATTATTGCTATCGACTATTGACTTATTTTTTTAGTGACAAAATTATTTCCTGATAGAGTATGAATTTGTCTCTACAGCAGAATCCGCTATGCATTTAGGATGGGGTAGTGTAAGATTTTATAAATTGCCATGAAATGTCACAGGCGGATTTGCATTTTTGGTGATTCTATATACATTAATCACTGAGTAACCTTCAGATTTCCAAATAAAGAATAAAAGGAGTAGTGATGGCATTTGTAATCATCTACAGAAGGAATTATTTAAATTCTTCACAGATGGAGAGCTATCAAGAGTAAATCATTTTACCCATATTTCTAATTTTAAGAAGCTTTGAGGGTGTTTGTGGATAGTGAGAAGTAAATATTGTTTTATATATAGAAGTAATCATAAAGTTTACATACCACAATCCCAAGTTGTGCAGGTGAGTGTATAGGGCTTTGTAGAGACCATCTCCCAAGGATTGAGTTCATCATAAAATAATGCTGTGCAATATATAATATACAAGCCAAGAAAGTTAGCAAAGCATGATACTGAGGACAACTTATGTTCTGTATGCCTCAGAATTTAATGCAGCTTAGTGCTTTAGGAAGAATGATATATGTTCCTAAGTCCAGCCTCATAGGAGTTATTTATTTATTTATTTATTTATTTAGGAGAGGTTTTTGCTATAGGGCGTGTGTGCTCTCCAGAAACACAGAGAGAGACACAGAGATAGAAAGTGAGAAATCACTCCCCAGGGTGGATGGCCACGCTGCAGTCCCTTCTCCTTCATTCTTCTCTCGGGATCTTGGGCACGCACTCACACGCGCCCGGCATGAGTTTAAGCCTTCAGGTCCGGGACTCGAACCACTGTCGACTACGTGGGAGTCCAGCGACATAGCGATAACACTAACTGGTCCCTGGGAGTTTATTATTTCTAAGCAAGATCTTCTCTCCTTCCATCAGTATGATTCCACTCATATTCCCAGTAAACTAGCTCTGAGAATGGATGTAGATCAGAACTTGAGATTTTTAGTAAATGCCAGATATCTATGTTTGTCTAATGTTGCTTTCAAATGGTTTCAAGGGTTGAGACTTATTCACTGGGAAACACAAGAAAGTCTGGTGCCAAATGTCCTTTGAACTTGGAGATGAGTAGCATATGGATGCACTTGCTATGGGTAATATGCATAAAACCGTAGAAGCTACAGTGGCATAGTCTGTTCTGGCTGAATAATTGTCTAAATAATTGTCCTCAATTCAGATATTTAATTTTTTTAATTGCCAGAGGGTACATGCATATGCCAGGGAGAGATAGAGAGGCAGAGAAAGGGGAAGAAGGAGAAAGCACCTTCCACTGGGCGTGGTCACACCATAATCCATTCTCCTCCATTTCTCCATCCTGTTGGAATTTTGGCATGTATGCACACATGCCCAGAATGTTTTTAAGCCTCCAGGGCTCAGATTTGTGCCTTGGAAACCATGTGGGATCTGACTCCCTTAACCCATGGAACTGGCCTTCCAATTCAGATTTAATAACTTGTTTCTGAAAATAGACTTTCTAAAATTTTTGTGTTACAAATGTATTTTCTTGTTTGTTTTATATGTAATTTTAAATTAATATATTCGTAGTACCCACTGAGTTCATACTGATAACAGTAAGAGCACAAATAAATGTACACATATTTATAAACCCGCTAGTCATAATGTATCATAGCACTTGTCATGCTCAAAAATCATTACCCTAATATTTTTTCCTATGTTTTCTATAGTTTATATATTTATTTATTTATTTTTGAAATCTAGTTTAGGAAAGGAGGTTGAAGTTGTTAACTTACAACCAGGTGAATACTACCACTACAATAAAAAAAAAAAGTATTTTTAAAAGACTTTGGGGTATAATTTTGTCGCCATCTTCCAAGGAACATTATAATGAAATAGGCAGATACTTTTAGTCATGTAAAAATTTTTTTTCTTTCTAATGGTGTCTTTCATTTCTGTGGGGGTAGAGAAAGATACAGGCCAGAGAGGGATGATGTGTTTGGGCTTCTGTGTTGCCTTCCATTTTGTGAGGCATCCCTGTAACATTCCTGGCTCCACTGACCAGAAGGAATATTCTGATAGCTAAAAAAATGAGGGACTGAGTTTTCTATTTCATGTCCATTCTAGCCTAGCTGGAAAATTAATTCTGCTGTTGCGGAAGATGGGAAGGTGGTTTTGCACAATGTACCAAAGCTCTCAGACACAGCGTGGTATTTGTCCTCTGCCATTGTGCAGCAGGAACGAAAGATGTTAAAAATGTCTCTTGCTAACATCTGCTTCGTTATTTATTCTTTTGCCTACAACTTTAATTGGAAATGACAGCTGCCTTTTGGGGCTTTGGATGCCATCCCTCTCAGTAACCAAGTACTGTCAGGGAGTGAGAGGGACATTTCCTCTCTGCAGCTGTTCTATGCAGAGTCTCAATGGTGTGCTTGCAGCTGGCAAGATGCAATACAGTGCCCTGATGTCTCCTTCCCCCCTTGCCTCTGCAGCTGGCGCTACATACATCTTTGGGAAAAGCGGTGGCCTCATCCTGTACACTTGGCCGGCCAATGACAGACCCAGCACACGCTCCGACCGCCTTGCCGTGGGCTTCAGCACCACCGTGAAGGATGGCATCTTGGTCCGCATTGACAGTGCTCCAGGACTTGGCGACTTCCTCCAGCTTCACATAGTGAGTACCTGGCCTTAGCCTGGATTCTCTTGTCTTTCTGATAGTCTGAGTTCGTGTACCAGACAAAGTGGAGCAGAATATTCTAGACAGACATGGCAAAGATGCACATGCTTATCAAAATTGCTTTCAGATATGAATCATCATGCCTAGAGGGCACCTCAGGGATAAAACAATTAAAAGCTTTTCCTTCTGCCTTGTGTATATTGAGAAGAGAAGAGATTTCTTCTTTCCAGATTCTCTTTTGGATTGTGTGATCTGGCCTGTGCTGAAATGTTTAGCAGGCTGTTGGGTGTAAATAGGATCTTTACCCAGTGTGCTTCATGCTAGCTTGTGCCAGTGGCAAAGCTAACTAGGTTGTTAATGATCTCCTAGGCTGGGGCTTAGCAAGCTTTCCTATAAAGAGCCAGAAGGTAAACATTTTGGGCACTGTAGGTCGAACAGTCTGTCAGAGTTACTCGAGTTTTTCTTCCTAATGTGAAAGCAGCCAGGGACAGTCCAATTTTTTTTGAAAGGCATGTGCCTATAGTCTAGTGAAAATTGATTTACCAAAACCGGCTGCAAACCGTACTTAGGTGACCCTCGTCTAGGCTGTCAATATCACTGCAGAGATTTGAGAAAGATCTGATGAAAACTAAGGCCAGAGTACCTGAGTAGGTGAGGCAAAACAGAAGTAGCACAGTGAACAATAACTATTCACTCCTATCAGGGCACCTCAAAGTGTTCGTGGAGAGATAGGATTAAACTATGAGTTAATGTTGGTGCAAAAAAGATGTTTGAAATCCATGAGTAGTTTCCTCATAATACACATTCTCCATGAATGTTGTGAATATCTCTTGTATTGTATAGCCAACATCTTGTTTTCGGCCTTCTACCTATGAGGGGACTCTACCCTCGGTCCCCATAGATCATAAGAACACAGTACAAGTCTAAGAAATTAAAATGATTTGGGGGAAAATTACTTCGTTATGAGGGTAGAAAATATTTTTATAGCAACAATTAACCCATTTTATCACCTGTGCATTCTGCAGTTAAGAAAGTAGGCTGAAGAAGGATATGATTCTCATCCCTAAGTACCCAAAGTGCAGCCAGTAAGAGCAAAGAGAGGAATTGTTCTCATTAGTTAGCAATGACAAGGCTAGAAAGAATGGATTTAATTTGGAGCAGTAAGAATTTGGTTTAAATAGCAGAGAGAAAAATGCAGTAAAGAAAAAAGATCAAATGGGGATTAGGACCAGCCTCCAAGAAGGAGGAAAGGGAACCCTGGGAGTCATTGAATGAGTTTGGTTAATGCACATGTCTAGGGAGAGAAGCAAAGGGTAAAATTTTATTGCCAGTCTCCAGAGCTGGAGGTGGCTGGATGGAACCACAAGCAGCAAGCTCAGGCCCTACATCAATACCTATTTCCAGCACCTGCTCTTCCAGCATGCCTTGCCTTGGAAATGAAAGCAGCTACAAGTATTGGGCTTGAGCTGGAAGCCCAATCTTTGGGAAAAGCGGTGGCCTCATCCTGTACACTGGATGGCCCATAGATGAGCTAGAGCAGGGCAAGGCTCTGCTTAGAAACCTAGAGAAGCCTGGGTAAAATGGGCATCTTCAAAATATAGAAGATGGGCCTGTGATAGAGTTGTGAGCTTCTAATTTTGTCTCAGATGCTTTGGGAGCCATATGGTGCTATAAGCCTGCACTTAAACATTTTAAAAAGCCATGCCAAGGAGCAAAGAGAAAGGCAGCCATAGTTAGTTCAGTTTATCTTTATTTGGCCTCTAAGAACCACCATAATTTACAAAACTCGGGGAGATTTATGCTGCATATAACTTAATGACTATTTCATGGCAGCTATAACTAGGCTATTATTACCAGCTCACTTGCATTTTCATGGTGATTTATCTTCTTTTTTTTTGTTCAGTGTGACTTGCTAAGAAAAATATGATTTGGCACAGCCATGAGGCATCTTTTTGAGTCAGATAATGTGTTACGAGTTTATTCATTTCTCCCCATTTGTGTTTTGCAGAGCATCACCACTTTTAAGAGAGAGGTTTTCATATTTTCTGACAGTGTACTTGAAATTGGCAGTGTTTTTATAAAATTTGATATGCAGATACAGGGAACTTCTTGGAAGAATCAGAACCTTCTGGTATACTGTATTACGCCGTTATAAAGTTATGTCATTTCTTTGGTGTCTTTGAAAAGTGAATGCCTCTAAACATACTTTGAGGTTCAAGTAGTATATATTTGTTCATATTCATTAGTGTGTGTACTCTGTGTAAATATGCACTTTAGGTATGTCATAGTATAATGTTACATTCTTCATAAAAATAACAGTACCAGAAGTCAGAAATGTTACCTCAAAATTGTGTAGTGCCCCGTTGCGGTATTATGGGTTTACTTTAGTGATGCTACTATTGCTTAACCATTCTGGGAAACTCCATCAGATTTTCTATCAATGCTTGAGTTAGAAAATTGTTTTACCTGAACATTTTCAGAAAAAAAGAAAAAAGGGATCATATGGTGTGGAGAATTTACCTGATTCTTGAATGAATCTGTCTTAACTTTGACCCTCTTGAACATTGTTCTAGTTGCTTAACGCCATATTTTATTCACTAGTGGAATATCTCTTTGTCTACACTGAAGAGGACAGGTTCCTTACAACATTCAAGAATAAAGAAATTCAAGTATAAGACTGAAAGGCTTGATTACAAAACCAGTCTTATATTTTCTACATTTAAGCATCGGGGAAATGAATCATAAATACCTATAAAAATACTTTTAGGGACCAGCAGATGGCATACTGGTTACGTTACTGGACTCCCACGTAGTCAACCGCGGGTCCTAGACCCAGTGGCTTAAACTCATGCCAGGTGCATGTGCATGTATGACCAAAGTCCCCAGAGAGAGAATGGAAGAGAAGAGATTGCAGCATGACCATCCCCCCTTGGGGGTGATTTCTTGCTTTCAGTCTCTCTGTCTCTATCTCTCCTGTGAGCACACATGCCCTAGAGCAAAAATATCTTTCTCTCCCAAAAAAGATACTACATAAGACTTTTATTTTATTTTATTTTTTTAGAGAGGTTTTCACTATAGGGCGCGTGCGCTCGCCACACAGACAGAGAGACAGAAAGTGAGAAATCACCCCCCAGGGGGGATGGCCATGCCTCAATCCCTTCTCCTCCATTCTCCTCTCTGGATCTTGGGCACGCAAGCACACGCGCCTGACGTGAGTTTTATGTCACCGGGTCCGGGACACGAACCACGGTCAACTATGTGGGAGTCCAGCGACATAGCCATTACACTAACTGCTGGTCCCTCATAAGACTGTTATAATCTGTAAAAAAAAAAAATAAAAAAGGTTTATTTTCTGGGTGGTTTGTTTCCTTATACTACAGAAAATTACCCAAAGAGAAAAGAGCTTAGAAGCCACTATTGAAAGTGAAAGAGTGAGGATAGTAGGCAAGAAGATTTCTAGTCACCTGTAGTTCATCTGGGAGGAGAGAAGCCCCACAGGGTAACATAAGAAGAATGATGGCAGAAATGAAGAGGAGATGGAAGCAGGTGTCTTGGTCTGTTCTGTGCTACTATAACTGAGTACCTGAGATTGGGTAATTTATTAAAAAAACAAAATAAACAAACAAAAAAACCCAGAAAAGCCCAAAACTTTATTATTCATAGTTCTGGAAGCTAGGTATTCCAAGATCAAGGTGCTAGTGGGTCAGGGCTCTCATTTCAAATTAGAAACCTGAATGTTGTGTCTTCTGGGGGTGAGGAAGGTCTTGTTCTCACACAGCAAAAGAGCAGAGATAGCAAACCTTCTCCCCCAGGACTTTTTATAGTCTATTAGCTTATTCACGAGTATTCCCACAAGGCCCCTGTTGCTCTGCAGGTTAAGCTTCTAATACATGAAGTTTGGGGACACATTCAGGCCATAGAAACAGTATAAATTACAGGGATGAGGGACAAGAACAGGAATTGGCTTGCCTATGTTCTCCAGCAAGGGGTTACATGGGGTGAACAATGTTCTTCGAATATGAGTATTAATAATGGAAAGAACCAAAAGTACTTTGGTGCTACTTCTGAATGGTGGTCAGGATAGTAGGGCTGACCAAAACCATAATATTAACTTTAAAATTAATGTGAAAGAGGGATGAGGAGATGTAGAAGGGGAGGAGGAAGAAAAGAGAAAATGGAGTGGGGAATGGGAGAAAAAAATCAGGAGACAGAGAAAGTTGGTTTTATAAACTAGTGTTGAAGGCAAGTCCCAGGAATTACTGAAGTGTTTGACCAGCATCAACACTGTCATCGGAATAATCCCCTTTTACCACCTATTTAGCTATCTGAATGAAGGAAGAAAAAATGCTCTTCCAAGAATACTGAGGAGTCTGAACCTGAGGTTAATGCCCACTTCAGATTAGTCCCCAGAGCAAGTTTGGCATGTAGGCTTCATCTTGCCTAACAACTCTCAGTGTCTTTTGTCCTCTTACTTCAAGAGGACAGGTTTGTGAGGGTAGCAAACAAATCCAGCAGGTAGGAGATCTGCCGTCTATTAGCTATGTCTACCTCATGCACAGAAATGGGGCTTTGTGGGACCAGCAGTTAGTGTAATGGCTATGTCGCCGAACTCCTATGTTGTCGACTGCAGTTCGAGTCCCGTACCTGGTGGCTTAAACTCACTCTGGGCATGTGTGCATGCATGTGTACCCAAGATCCCCAGAGGAGAATGGAGGAGGAGGGATTGTAATGTGGCCTTCCCCCATGGGGGGTGATTTCTTGCTTTCTGCCTCTCTCTTTCTGGTGAGCGCTCGCGCCCTATAGCAAAATCCTCTTCAAAAAAAATAGGAAAAAAAAAAAAAAGAAAGGAATGGGGCTTTGTGGATATGAACTACACATCTCTCACACCTGCTCTAAGACACATACCACCATTCCTCATATGCTTGATCTTTCTCTTCCATTGCCTAAACTTTGTAAACTCGTGATCCACTGGATTTCTCATATCATTAAAGTAGCCA